CGATCTAAAAAGAAAGGGAATCAACCAGGAAGACTGATCCGAAGTGTCATAAAAGATAGATTCATTATGTAAAAGTTCACAGCACAGCTAGATGTTACCCCAGCACTTGGGAGATGAAGACAGGAAGGTCAGAAATTCCAGGTCATCTTCAGTTACATAGCAAGTTCCAGGCTAACTTGGGCTACATGAGACCCTGACTCAAGTGAACAAGGAAACAAAAATAAGACAAAACATAACAGAGGAATAATAGTACAATTCCATGTTTTAAGTTACACAGATAGATATAGATATAGTTACACTAAATATGGTGGCACACACTTATGATCACAACGCTGGAGACTGAGGTAGAAGGATTACAAATCTGAGGGTACCCTGAGCTACACAGTGAGTGAGATCCTATTTCAAAAGGCAACAGCAGGGGGTGGAGAGATGGTTCAGTGGATAAAGCAAGCTCTGGGGTCCAGTGAGAGACCCTGCTCAATTTGTAAGATGGAGAGCACCCAGGGTTAACCTCTGGCCTCCCAATACACATGAACATACGTGCACCCATACATGTGACCATGTACACACACACACACACACACCATACACACAAAAATTATATGCATTGCATGTATATGAATATGAGCATAGAAAATAACCCTCACTAAACTGTTTTTAAGGGTTACTTATGTGAGTGGGGTATAGATTCGTGTTTATTATACTATACAATTCAACTTCAGTTCATTTTTTTGGTTAACAAAACAAAATTTACTTTTATAAAAACACATTTTTGTGTGTACAAACATTACCTGCTTGATAGATAATATTAAAATTATGTTTTGTGCCAGGCGGTGGTGGTGCACGCCTTCAATCCCAGCACTTGGGAGGCAGATTTCGAGACCAATCTGGTCTACAAGAGCTAGTTCCAGGACAGGCTCCAAAGCTACACAGAAAAACCCTGTCTCGAGAAACCAAAAGAAAAATTATGCTTTGCATATACAACTACCTTGCAAGCTTTTTAGGGGCATTGTGAAAGCTTGACTCTGTGCCTGCCTCAGATTCAGTAAAGGCAAAAATCCTGTCAACAAGAGCATGTAATACCACAAAGTGCCGCTAGATGGCAGGCCTCACCCAGAAGTTCTCTTCTGCTGAGGTTCCTCATTCATAATGCCTTGAGTATTGATTGTGTCACAATGAGTTGTATGAGCTTCTCTCTGAGCAAAGCAAAAATTCCTTCTGCACAGAATTATCTCCTGGTTCATCTTGGACCCATAAGTGTTGGGTACCTGCTGGAACCCACAGAGCAATAGTTTTGAAATGGATAGATGGATGTGTTTATGTATATTTCTCTGCAAAGTACTAAAATCCCATAAGCAGCTTCATTGCATCCTCCTCAAAATTCAGGAAAGAAAGGAGCTTGGTGAAGGTCTTGCTGCCAAGCCTGTCAACCTGAGTGTTCAACCCAGAACCCACGTGGTAGCAGGATAAAGCGACTCCCACAGGTTGTCCTCTGACCTCCACGGGCACTCTGTGTTATATCTTCACACATAAATAAATAAGCTAATGAATAAGTGTAGAAAAAAGTGATGGTGCAAGTTTTTAATCCAGCGCCCCAGAAACAGAGGCAGGCAGAGCTCTGTGAGTTCACAGCCAGCCTGATCTACTTATCGAGTTACAGACCAGCCAGAGCCACCTAGTGAGACTCTGTTTCAAAAAAACAGCAACAATAAGAGCACAATTAGTCAAGAAATAACTGAAGAAAGTAGTAATAAAAAAAACACTTGAGGAGGCTGGAGATGTAATTGAGGGTGTAGGGTCCTCTCCTGGCTGCACACCACATACCTAACTAGTCTAAAATACCAGCATTTGGGAAGTGTAGGCAGATGGATCGGAAAAAGGTCCATCCTCAGCTACACAGCTGATTTTGAGCCAGCTTGGACTACAGACCATCTCTCTAAAACCAAACAAGCAAAAAAAAAAACAAAAAAAAAAAAAAAAAAAAAAAAAAAAAAAAAAAAAAAAACTGGAAAAGAAAAGAAAAAAAAAGGAACAATTGAGAATTTTCAAGTCTTATCCAGTATCCACCAGTAGAACTATGAAGGAACTGGAAACCAAGCTTTAGCCAGCTGAACTGAAACCTTACTTCAGACGAGACACACACACACACACACACACACACACACACACACACACACACAAACACACACACACTCCCCATCCTCCCTAGGCTAAGCGTGAAAGTGTTAGCCTAGGGCACCTCAATGAGCTGGAAGAAAAGTGTCTGTCTTTGGGCAGATCCCTGTGTGGCTGGAACTCACAGGGCCCAGATCTAAGCAGACCCCAGATTAGTAAAGGGAACACACCTTCGACCAGAGACT